TCCAGGCTGTGCCTGTGGGCATCAGGGAGCCCTTGGTCTGTCTGTCTGTCCATCCAGGCTGTGCCTGTGGGAGCAGGGAGCCCTTGGTCCTTCTGTCTGTCCCACCAGGAGAGGAGTGGGCTGGGCTGATCCTTCCCCTCTGCAAAAGGAGGTGCTGGATGAGCTGGCTGAGGGATGGAGTGTGGATGTTCTCCCCTCCCCTGAGGGATGGAGTGTGGATGTGTGGATGTTCTCCCTCCCCTGCTTTTCAAAAAAAACAAACCAAGAAAAGGCAGTGCCTGTGTGGTGAGTTATTGCTGATGACTCCTCCTGATGGGCTCCACATAAAATCCCCTGCCTCCCTGAGGATGCTCCCCGTTGAAAGCTTTTATGGCATCTTAAAAATAGCCCCAGAGGGGGGGAGAGAGAATGAGAAGATGGATAGGTAGGTGGATCCCTAATAAGGAGAGGAGAGGAAACAGCTCGGGAGGGAATGGAAAGACTCTGGTGCACGGCATGTGAGTGGCTGCAGAGGGAGGGGATGGCATGGCCACGCTGAGCTGTGCCCAGCAGGAGCAGGAAACCCTATAAAAAGCCTGTCTGGGGGATCTGTGCCTTGCACGTGCTGGGGACAGGGCTGGGCTGAGCAGCAGCTCGGGCTGTGCCTCCCCCAGGCTCTCCCTGCATTCTACAAGTGGCTGTTAAAAATAATCCCTGCCTTGGCCATGCAGCTGCTGCTCCGGGGTCATCCCCAAAAAGGGCTCATCCCATCCCCAAAAAAGTGCTGATTCCCATCCCCAAAAAGTGCCAATCCCCATCCCCAAATAGTGCTCATCTCATCCCCAAAAATGTGTCCATCCCAGCCCCCAAAAAAGTGCTGATGCCCATCCCCTCCCCAAATAGTGCCCATCCCCTCCCCAAATAGTGCCCATCCCCTCCCCAAATAGTGCTCATCCCATCCCCCCAAAAAGAAGTGCTCATCCCCTCCCAAAAAAACTGCTCTTCCCCAAACTGCTCATCCCATCCCCAAAAAGTGTCAGGACCCTGAGGTTCCCAAAAAGTGCTCGTCCCCAAACTGCTCATCCCCAAAAAAAGTGCTGAGCCCCATCCCCAAAAAAAGGGGCTCATCCCCAAAAGGGGCTCAGCCCCATCCCCAAAAAGTGCTCAGCCCCATCCCCAAAAAGTGCTCAGCCCCATCCCCAAAAAACTGCTCATTCCCAAAAAGTGCTCATCCCCAAACTGTTCATCCCATCCCCAAAAAGTGCCAGGACCCTGAGGTCCCCAAAAAGTGCTTGTCTCCAAACTGCTCATCCCCAAAAAAAGGGCTCATCCCCAAAAAAAGGGCTCATCCCCAAAAAAAGGGCTCATCCCCAAA